AAAGGTGCTTGATTTGAAACCCACTGCCAATGATTCAATTTAATTTTAGAAAATAATGTGGCCTAGAGAGAGGCCAAACAAAATGTCACATCACTTTCTGAACTAGGCCTGAGACTAATAACCCAGTCGGACTCTGGCTTGGGCTAGCTTAGGGCTACTCTAGTTGTGGCCTTCCAGACTGGCCTTGCTGTGGCCTGATCAAAACGGGGAAGAAAATCCGAAAAAAATGAGGCTTTTATTGTACCCTGTTGGTGGCCTGTTTGTGGCCTATTTTTTTGAGTGGCCCCAAGGCAATTGCCTTATTTGCCTAATGGTTAATCCGGCACTGGTCTCACCAAGGAAGTCTTTTAGATAATTACCGGAAAGGCCAGACGTGACTCAGGGTGAGCCAGATCACACAGCTCAATGATTTAGAAATCAATGCTCGCGTATCAGTGATACCATCACATGATCTCTCTTAAACATAGATCCATTTAGCCTATGAGCGAGTGCTGTAACCGTGGCAAGATCCACGGGAATTCCCCTCCGCTGACAGATTAATGGGAGATTCATTGTATAAGTGGGGTAGACAATGGAAGTGGTTGAGGCATCTTCGTAGAGTCATGAGTACGAAGAGAGAGAGAGAGAGAGAGAGAGAGAGAGAGAGAGAGAGAGACGGACAGACAGGCAGACAGACAGACAGACAGAGAGAAAGTGAAAAAGTGATAGATAGATAGATAGATAGATAGATAGATAGATAGATAGATAGATAGATAGATAGATAGATAGATAGATAGACAGACAGACAAAGAGACAGACAGGGGGGAAGAGAGAGAGAGAGAGAGAGAGAGAGAGAGAGAGAATATGTAAATAAACATTTTTTTTCACTTTAATGCTTCTCCCCAAGGGTTTTCTTTGGGGCGACTGAGAAGAAAATTAAAGGGAAGTGCAGGACATTTACATGCACACGGAGGAAGTATCTCTCCAAGGTGGTTAATGTAGTTTAGTTAAATTTCAGTCTGGCTTGGCGTGGCTCAGCATGGGCCAAGTGCAAACATTTGTCGTTTGGAAACCAATGCCTGCGTATAGTATCACATGATCTCTCAAAACATATCACGCGAGTGCCGTGGCCGCCGCAGGGTCCTCGCGTCCTTGTTTACAATGCTGATGAACTTTGAAAACAATATTGATGGATTTGTATGTTGATCCTTTACAATTAGTGCCTACGAAGAGGTTGATATAACGTACACAGTACCTGTATTGTTGATTCACAGCACTGACTAAGTGTCTACGCCACGAATTACATCTACGTCTTGCTCGTTACTCAGTCACTGGTGAAAGTTTTTAGGGTGGCGCTAGTTTAGACTTGAAGGTCAGACCGATCTGTTTGAAGCTCTGTCACTGTCTCAGCTTATTCCAACAATAGACAAAGGCTGGCTGGTCGTAGATGGGCCCTGGCTAAGTCTTACCGGTGGACATATTGCGAGTGACTTCACCGAGGCCATGTCTATTGTACAAGCATTTTTTTTACAAGATTGCCCATGCCTTTTCCTGTTCGGTGTGTCTCTGTTCGGGATATGAGTCTGCTCTCGCGAGGAAATGGAAATGTACAGTAACGCTAACTGCAGGACAAAAGGAAATTGATACTCCTTGGTTTAAAGCCTGGTTGTTTGAACATTCCAGCTGGGGCATTCCCCCCAAGGATAGCCAGGAGCCAAATTGACCGCATCACAACACAATAGTTATGTTTCTTGTCCTGGTAAAGTTCAACAAGGCTCACTAAAAGGTTCCAAATCTGGATCTGAGCTGTAGCAGGTAAGAGGCTGTTCCGTTAAGAAGCTAAAAGAAAGCTACAAAAAATTAATAAATCCTTATTACAATCATCTGCATTGAAAGGTCTATTGACTCTTCTCCTTTTTTATGTTCGTTACTCTCTGGTAACACCTCTAATCTTCGGCTCTTATTTGACTTCATTGCGTTGCAAGTGCCTCAAAACTCTTACTAAAACTAAACTATATTTTATTGGTCTAGGTCTATTTTGACTTTCGAGTAAGAAAATCAACAGTGGGTGCTGCTCTTCACTCCTTTGTATCAGAACGCTAAAATAGCATCGTGTTAGAGTAACCTCTGACTTCTTTG